CCCTTTCTCCTCCCCATCCTCATCTCCGTCTCTCTCCCGTCATTCTTCGCACTCCTCATCCCTCCCTTCCCCTTATTAAGGCATCTCCCAATTCCTTCCCTTCTCCCCATTCTACTCTCCTCCCTTCCCTTTACCGTCTCCTGTTACCTTACCCTCCCTTCTCATTCCCCCTCCCCTCTGCCCACTAATCTGCCCCCTAACCCTCTCCTCCCCTTCCTCTCTCCCTCTTCCTTTTCCTTTCCCCCCCTACTATTTTCCCTCTTCCCTCCCACTTCTTCCTCCCTTTCTCTCTCTCTCTCCATTTTCACCATTTTTTTCCTCTTCACACCCACCCCCTCCCCTTTCCTCTCCCTCTCCCTCCCGCTCACACCCTAAAGCTATTCCCTCCAGCATGAACAAAGGGTGTGACACCACCTACCCTCTCGCGGCTCTTATTCTCCTCATCTCTCTCTCTCCTCTCTCTCTCTCTCTCTCTCTCTCTCTCTCTCTCTCTCTCTCTCTCTCTCTCTCCCTCCTCCTCCCTCCCCGCCTCCTCCCTCCCTCCCTCCCCCCCTCCTCTCCGTGCGCCTCCCTCCCTCCCTCCCTTTCCATCACTCCTCTCCCCTCCCTCTTCCCACTCTCCCTCTCCCTCTTTCTCTATCTCTTCTTTCTTTCTTTCTCTTCCCTCTCTCTCTCTCTCTCTTCTCCTCCTCTGCTCTCTCTCTCTTCTTCTCTCGTCTCTCTCTCTCTCTCTCTCTCTCTCCTCTCTCTCTCTCTCTCTCTCTTTGATTCACCTTGTTTGACTTATGGCTCGCACCCCTTCTCCTTCCTCCATATATCCCTTAGTTATACGTTATTTCTTCTTTCTCTCCTCTCTCTCACTCGTCTCTCTCTTCCCTGACGACCCCGGGTTCTGAAAAGGCGGCGGTGAGAGATAAAGAGAACAACGGATCTCCAAGATGTAATGATCGAACGACGGATGAGGAGGAAGAGAGAGAGATAGATGAATAGAGATAAGGGTTGTGAGAGTGGTCGTGAATGCAGGACAGTCGTTTATTTATCGGGGGTTCTGGTCGGTGGCTTTGCATCGTTTTGGCCTCTGTCCTTTGCAGTCTTCGTTGTTTAATATCTTTGTTGTTGTTTGTTTTGTTGTTGTTGTTTTTTCAAGTTTTCTTCTTCTGCTTCTCTTGTTGTTGCTTTGTTGTTGTTGTTTAATTTTTCTTCCTCTGCTTCTTCTATAGTTGCGTTTGTTGTTGTTATTAATCCATTTTTCTTCTCTGCCTTCTTCTTGTTGTTGCTTTGTTGTTGTTATTTACTTCTCTGTTTCATATTGACATTATCATTAAGGTTATTACCATTATTCTTAATATCATTATTACTATTATTATTATTATCATTGTTATCATTATCATTATCATCATGCTTGATATTTTCACTGTCATCATTATCATTATTATTATGATCATTACTATTATCATTATTATTATGATCATTACTATTATCATTATTATTATTGATCTATTACATTATCAT